TAACATCACGCGTTCAAGACTGACGAGTCCTATGACGCAAACGTGTCCCTCCTAAACTCAGGATAGGATCAGTGGCGTGGGATGCGTCCTCCCTGAGGGAAGGATGGGATACGGCCCCATGTGCGGGGAAAAAATTGTACACTGTTGGAATACCGCTCACCTTTGACAAGATCGATGATGCTCTTTTTTGCAACTACGTGATCTGTGCCTTCTTCGAGCACTACGAATGCCTTGGGTACCTGACCGCTCTGGGGATGTGGAATGCCAATCACTCCCACCTCTCGAACGCACGGCTCCGTCAGAATTATGTCCTCCTTAAAAAGTAGTACACAGACATCGCATCACTCCTGCTGATGTTAGGAATACAGAAGAAAAGTCATTGCGGAAATTCTCGAAAACGTCGCTTATGTAGATTTATCGGAAGAATTTCTTGAAGCATGAAAAGAAAAGCAGGTGAAAGGGTTCCCAAACGAGGAAAGAACTCGCTCTTATAGAAGACGAGAAAAGTCACCTACCAATTCAGAGGGAGACACTTGTACACCATTCACTTTTATGAGGTCTTTCACTCGATCGACAACATAGTAGAAATCGTCCTCATCGAAATACAGTATGTCTCCTAAAAATAGTGAAGGATAAAAGGATAAGCATTCGGCGTCGATCAATCCCGTTTAGGGATAGTCAGCTAATCTGCCGTGCACGTTTTCCTCCTTTCCAGAGCCTTACTTAATTATTATAATTAACAAAACGTTTTGATCTCGTCTTGGCTCTGTAAGAAAAAAAACCTGCACAACCAACTTGTGGTAGAATCACTCATTTATGTTAATGGAGTTGGAATATTAGACAGAATATTGTTGGGAGAACTGCTACAGGCCTGAACTACTCACCAGTTCTGAGCCATCCATCGACGAAGTGTATCCGGATCTTCGTCCGAATTATGGTAACCACGCATGACTGTAGGCGATTTTAGAAATAGCTCGCCTGGACAATTGGGACCATTGATGATGCATCCACTTCCGTCTCTCAACTTTATCCAAATTTAGATACAACTGCTAAAATAGACAAAGCTAGCCCTCCAGAAAAGTCTCACCTCAGCCTCGAAACCTGGTAGCAGCTTACCGCAGCTACCGAGATGTTTCTCCTCGATAAGCCCAAGAGGAGTGATGTGGCTCAGGACCACGATCTCCGTCATACCGTAACCTGAACAGAAAAAATATTACCTGCCTAGGATAGTGTTCAACAGGCGAAGCTCTTTACAGAGTGATCTATGGCTGAACTTCAGCGTAGCAAGCTCTCTAAAAAGAGGCCATATGATTATTACAACGGACGGTAAGATCTAATAGGGACTTATATTGAAAATGCATGAAACTACGGTTGAGGCTGGGGTGGTAAACAGCAAGAAGAATCTTTTGTCTCACTTCTCACCACACGTATGAAACAAAATTTCACTGCCAACGGTCTCCCGCTGTGTGATAGGTTCAAAAGAAGGAGGAATAGAATGGGACGTCTAATTTATTGGAGTAGAAGGATGCTTAGATTTAAATTCCTAGATGTTCAACAAATCGAGGTATACCATTTATACACAAAGAAAATTAAAAATGATTTTTCTAATATGGTCAAAGTGCGAATTATCAAAATCTCCCCTTGATCAAAATTCTGAGGAAGGAATTTAATCGGAGGAACGGAGCACTCTGAGATTCTTATACAGCCAGAGGACTCGAACGCATAGGATGTAGAAGAGAGAAGATCGTGACTGTGAGTGTTCACTGCGAAAGAGTAAACGACGAATGGAAGTGGCATCCACAATTCAGAGTATCGCACTACTGAAACTTTATCAGATCTTCTACTGCTCAAACATCCCCTTCTCTATCTCGCTCATCTTGGTTCGCCTCCTTTCTACTACTGCCATGCCTATGCCTCTTGAAGGAATCGTGAGAACAGATCTGTTGGTTTCCAAGAGAGAAGTAGTGCCCTTTCAGAAAAAAAATAATACCATAGAAAATTCACACTTTCAAAGAGATAATCCTATATATAATTCGCTGTGTATTCTGTGTGTGTATGTGTCTTGTCACGAAATTCATAGCGCACTTCGCTGCAACAGTGGAGCGCTGTATTTTGAGTATGTTGTAGGGGGTGGGACGGGAACATCTTTGGTGGGGGACTCAAAGTGATAACGACTGATAAGATCCGATAAGAGGCGCCAAGAACGCCAATTCCACGATATCCATAGCGTCCCAGCATCAGTGAGGCGTTGGTTCCAAGAAGTGATGTAGAGGGTAGGACGGGAACATCTTTGGTGGGGGACTCAAAGTGATAACGACTGATAAGACCCGATAAGAGGCGCCAGAACGCCAATTCCGCGATATCCATAGCGCGCGTCCTAGCATCAGTGAGGCGTTGGTTCGAAGAAGTGTTGTGGGGGGTATGTACGGGAACATATATGGTGGAAAAAGAAAACAACGGCCGATAATGAAGGACCATCGCAAAAATATATGGGGCCCTCAAGAACCAGATTTTAGATAAAGCGTTTATTTAGTTATATTTCATTTGCGTTGTTTATCAGCGAGATCGTATGTTCCGCAGAATTCTAAGATGTATGGTTGGATATCCGGAGAAATACGTAAAGTGTGCTGCTTTCTATTACTATACTTCACCCACAATCCGATCATGCCTCCCCGCAATTACGCCGAATTAATGTATGGTGTGTTTGTTTGCAGACACGTATTACTTAAACAGGTCGCTTCTGCAAAATGAACGCATGAGATAGATATATTCACAAGAATAATGTTTAATCGCTCTTTATTGTCTGTCATGCCACCACTTCCGGCACCCTTCGGTTCATGCCGAGGTAGCGTGCGGCAGGCGCTAAACTTGGTAATTTACATATTCATGATCCATATTGCGTTGAAGGCGAGAAACGCGGTGGCGCAGGACGGAGGCTCTCGATTGTGTCGTTGGCGTGATTGGTGAAAGACTTAAGAGATGACTTCACTACCCTGGCTGCGCTGAGTGGTTGAAGGAATCCTTCGCGGAAAATTCTTTGCATTCTTTCTTGACATGGATGTGTCAGTTGTGATCACTGGAAACAGCACGCAAAGTTTCACGCATGAAGATCCGGTTTCCGAAAAGAACAAACGTCCGAAAAACTACACGTTATGGAACATCGAAGGTAATTCGGAGCAAACAAACATGGAAAGAAGCTGGCCTTTCAGCCGGCTACGTATCAGGCGACGCAATGACGGAATCCGGGTAAAAGTGATCGATTTTGGAGAATAGAGGCAAACAATCGATAGAGTATGATGCAGTAGAAGTGTAAGATGTGAATGCAATAAAGCAGAAAGCCAGAAAGAGTTTCTAGTGAAGGCACTCCAAGAACCAAGTGGAAGCATCCCCGTCGCCAGCATTTGTGAAAGACGTCCGTGGGCACTTTGAACGCGTAGCAGCCCTTTCGATTTTTTGAATTTTTTACCAGAACGAAAGCAATATTTCTGTTCTTTCATTCTTATCGTGGATAATGAGTCTCAAGTCAGTGATTTATGGCCAAATAAAAGCATGATTTTTCCGCGAAGGATTCCTTTAATCCACCAGTGACGACCCATGACGTCATCGAAATAGCCCCGCTCCCCAGCCAATAAATTCTCTACCTTTAAGATCTACTGCGTGCTCATTATGTGAGCTTTTGTCTGGAAGCAACTTTCGGTAAGAGGCAGTCATCATAATCTCTCGCCTACGACTTTTGCATGGAGCAATTAGATCTTCGAGATCTTCACAAAACTATGCTGGTAGCCTTACTCACAACTGGTTACATTTCATAACCCATTCCCCTGACTCCGCCCTAGGGCTCAGCAGAGGTGCAGTAATTGGGGTTTTCCCCTTGCTATTTCTCTCCAATAATTCTCTTCTTGGCTCCGAACCTGCCCATGACCTTATTTGGCCACACACAACACATTTATAAGCAACAAAGAGGAACAGATTTTTTTGTGCTCGATCCCTCTAAACATTAGCTAGCTCCGATTACCGGTGAACAAAGTCATATGCTTTCATATGTCTAATCAATTCTGACCGTTATCCTCATCCATCATCTCTCCTGTTGACATCTGAAGTTTTTGTAAGCATCGGCTAAGCCAATGCAGCCAGTATTGTGGCCAAGCACTCCCCCAACCCCCCCCCCCTATTGTTGCGCTCCCGTGTCAAAGGCGAATGTTACGATGAAAAGGCAGCCTATTTGAAACTAACTGAAAACTGAAACTTTGAAGATGGTCAGGGATGCACGAGAGCAGAAAAAGCCGGGAAAAATTGCCTAGAACCCGAGGAATGGGTTTCTTCCTCGCCCATTTGCGCATTGATGCGACTCTCATCGTGCTGCCCTCTTCAACGCTAACGCTCTCTCTGCTAAACGGCTAGAGACTCAGACACGAGACGACGAGAGGGGCACACCGCGCCAATAGCCGCCAACCGCGCCGCGGGGAAGGCCATGCTAGATCGCTGGGGCATATCTTCGGATACAAATTGCGTGTTGGTCCGCACCCTTATGAGGTCCGCCTTCTTTCTACTAGGTATTTTTCCCCTTCTTCGACTATTTTTTTTCGTGCAAACCTCCTTCAAGGACAGACTTCCCATCAACGGAATGTGCGAAGGATACTAGGCACTCGACGCCATCGCAATTTCTGCCTTTGACCACCTGCACTTCAACGATATCAAAATCTTGTATCGATAGATTGAAATGACCTCTTCTTTCTGTTCAGTTAATCGACAACGTTTCAGGCATAGCCCTTCTTCAGGTCAACTGAACTTAAAGGCAAAGTTCGGGCTCAGACCCACCTAAGAAGCCCTTACCATGGCTAGAAGTGCTGGGTACGCAAGTGCAAAGGTAGCGCCACCTTTCTACATCGAAACGCGTCACTAGGACCCTAGGCGCCATGGACTTCTAACAGACTCCACCAAACTTAACATGGTCCGCCCACCGTTCGATATCTTGTCTGCGTCGCCACGTTGATCTGCTATGCTCTCTCTTCTCGGACTTCTCTACCGCTCTCCGCGCTCACATTATCTCTCATCTCCCTGCCTGTCTTTTGAACTTCTCCACAGCATAGAGCAAAATGCTCGTATTTCCTGTGTATTTCAGGATTTTCTTTCCTTTTTTCTCCACTGGCGGTCCACCTCCCATCCCTACTTTCACATTTGAGTGGAATTACCCCATCAATTTAATCCTGATTCTTGCCTTTAAAGTCAAATTGTTAGATGTCAAAATCGATAGAAATGAAGATTCGGTGAG